GTGTGTGTGTGTGTGTGTGTGTGTGTGTGTGTGTGTGTGTGTGTGTGGGGTTGGTCAATAAGAACCGGTTCAACTGCCCGTCCTGCTTTAAGAGCTACCGAACCATGCTGGACCTGGCCCAGCACCGGTGCAGCGCCGCGGCCAAAAACCAGGTTGGTGTGAGCGTGAGTGAGCATGTGTGTGTTTGTTGTTGTTTGTGTGTGTGTGAGAGAGAGAGGCAGAGTCAGCAGAATGAACTGTAGCTGTGAGTAAGGGCCAACTGGTACAGTAGAGTTTTAGATGTGACGGTCAGGAAGAAGATCCTTCTCTGATCAGAACGCCTCAAAAAGCTTTTTGAACAGAAAATGTCTGCGGGTGTTTTCCTTTGATCTGTCATCTGTCTCAGTGCTACTGAAGAGAAAAGCCCTTTTGATAAATCCAACCAATCAGTAACTAATACTTAACAAAATGCACAGAGAATGGCAGACAATAGTGTCCATCTTCTCTGCTCTCATAGACAACCTCCGACCTGCCTTTAACATGTTAAAGAAGCGGTTGCCACTGATGACAAGCAAAGGCCAAGAATTGGTTGCCAATTCCTCAAAATGGTTGCCAGTGGCAACCCGGCAACTGTCTGTCGACCTCTGCGATGTGAGACGAAATCCACAGTAAAATGACATCCCATAGTTCAGTAGGAGTTAATATGAGACAATATTTCCTATCTTTTAAATGTAACACAAAGTGTTGTAAAACTACTTTCTGCTCTGTAAAATGTAAACACACCTGATACAGATGACGGTCCCAACTACCAAGATGAGACCGCAAACAAAAAACAGAATTTTCCCGAGACACTTAATGTAGATCAAATATTAGACGTCTCCTGCAGCTGTGACTCTTCAGGCAGAAGTTAACGGCGTCGCACTCACTGCAGTTGTCAGAGTTGGAGGACAAGTTGACAGGGCAAACATACGAGCATGCTTACAGAGGACAGGCGTAGATTTAGACTTGTTGTTTTGAAGTGGAAGTGTATGAGGTCCTTATCAATAGGCAGTGTATTACCAACAATAGATGTCCGTAGCCACGCCCCCAGTTTGGAGAAACAGACAGGAGTACCAGCATGGGGGAGGGGGGGGGCCAAAGCAACAAAACAAAAAAACAAATTTGGGACACCTAAAAATAATTCTGTTGAAGTGTATATTCAGAATATTTTCACCTCTTCACCTTGCCCTCACAGACAGCAGTTTCCGACGGGGAGCTGAAGCCGTCACCTGTGCTCTCTCCAAAGCCACCAGACTCCATTGACAAAAACTGTCCTTTTATCTTGCAGGACACAGGAGTTGCTGGTCGACCGCTGCATCGATCGGTTAGTTTGTTTGTGTTAATAGTGTGACTTTGTTTAACTTGAAATAACCAATGGAGTCTTTGCGTGAGCATAGATAACTGCTTCAGTTCCCCGTCGCAAGCTTAGACTGTACAGCTGTCGGACGCCAACGTAAACCGGCAACAACATTTCAAATGTGGCATGCAATTGATTTCAAATCAATCAACTAATCTCAAGTTGGTTTTGCCGCTGCCCTCGTCACCAGCAGTTACATTGCTTTGCTCCTGTGCTGGTACTCTGCTTCTCTTATCTGCTGTAGACGACACACTGACTGTGGATCAGCACCCAGTACAACCCCACTTCAAAACACCTGAACTGTCCCTTTAATGTTGGAGTTGACAGTCTGTATAGTTCTAAATTTGCAGTCTGGGTAGAATTGATGTTTGTGCGAGTGCGTGTTTGTGTGTGCATGTGCGTACTACCTTACCACCCCATCCCTCATATTACTAGTTTTACTAAGAGGAAGTGAAAGGTGCCGAGTCCCTGAGACAGAATTTAAATGCATAAACTTGAAACATTTACGCTGAACTGCAAAAGAGTTATCCCATCTGTCCATCTCCTCCGCTCGTCATCTTCTCCGTGCGTTGCCGGCATGCATCTGTCACCAGTTATGCGCACAAAGACTCAAATGATTTACAGAATGTCTCTTCCTCCTCCCATCCAGTCCGGCAGTCGTCGCTACGCTGCCAACTCTCGCCGTCAGCAGCAGCAGCAACAGCAACAGCAGCAGAACAGCGCCAACTCCATGATGCAACCGCCGCACGGAGGACACGGCCAGCAGGAACCTCTGCCCTCCCACTGCGTCTCCCCCATGTCCCAGGGAGGGCCAGGCGGCGTGTCCAGCCAGTCTGTGCCTGACCCCCACCAGGTAGGGCGGAGAAAGTCCCGGTTCAAGTTTCGGGGCGCCAGACGCCGTGGAGGGGGAAACCGTTAAGTGTTTTGACAGGAGCATTTGTCGGCAATGCGCTGAGAGCTCTCTCTCCGTCTTTTGTCTCCCGGCAGGGCCGTCCCAGCTCGGTGTCCTCCCAGAGCAGCCAGCAGAGCATGAGGAGCTCGTCCTCCAACAAACACATCTCCTCCAGTGCCACCCCGTCCTCCTCCTACTCCCTGCTCCAGCCCCTGGTGCCTGAGGTAAAGGAGCTGAGCTCGGGATACACTAGGCTGAGCGCCAACCCCATGGTAGGAGAGAGCCGCCGCCGCACCCCCCGCCGTCCGCTGCCTAGCTGCCTCCTCCCTGTCTGGCTACTAACACCGGGAGAGAGGGACTAATACTTTTTAACTTTAGTGTCCACCGGGCGCCTCTGCTCTCGGCTCACGTCCTCCCTCCTCTTAGGACAGCTGTTTGCAGCAGAGACGCCCGGTGGACACAGTCTTAGCCGTCTCCTTAAAGTTGGCTTTTAGTCTGTTGCTTTTCTTTCCAAACATATTTTGGGGCACCGATGGAAACGGGTTTCTACTCACTGAAAGAAATTTGCAGAGACGATTCAAATGTCCCGTCAGCACGACCTCCCTGCGCCAAGTTGTCCCCGTTAAAGTCAGGAGTGGGGTGTATCTTACCGTTTCTATTTCAACATTAATATTAGATTTGAATTGATGACCTCGTAGAAAAATCATCACACACGCAGTCGGATAGATTTGCTCGTGCAACCCTTTTTTGTATTTATTTTTTGTTTGCGATACTAAAACGATATCTCACTTGAGCCCGGCAGCCAAATATCTTATAGATATTTTAGACTGGTCTCAGGCCAGTCTTAATTTTGCTATAATGCGTCCTTTAACAAGTCCTAAACCCCACAAAAGAGTCAGCATCTTTGCACTTCCGGTTCCCTCCGTCTCAAAGTCAATGTCACACGTTAAATAAAGTATTTAACGTGTATATTTTTTCAATACATGCATAAAACAAAGTTGTGATTTATCAAACGTATATGGCGCATCTGGGCTACGTTCCTTTTTTGTGCCACGTTTTTCAGGCAGTTTTTGGACGCCCATAAAAGTAAAAATATTCTTAACTTTTCAGCGCCAGAATCGCACCGCTCAGCCAATTAAATGAGCAAGAGTAGATGTGGCTGGAACGGACATTGATATTAGCGATAGGTAATTACTATGAACTATATCATTTCCCTCTCCTCATTCAACAGCAGAGCAACAGCTCCATGTCTCCATTGAATCATTTTTTCCCTCGCTGTTTACATTTGATCGCTTGAGCATGCACCCCTGCTCTGTTTTGCCCGACTCGCTTCGCCAAGGCGCCACTCTCCGGTTGCGTCGGTGCGATCGGCCCCTCAGAGTTTCACCCACATCCTCTAACCACTATCTCTTCCAGGATATTTCAAATGCTCGCTTGCGCTTCAGCTGCCGTTTCCTGGCGAATGCCTCATCGGTGCTGTTCATGTGCAACTCTCAACACAGATGAGGAGGAAGGGAGCTGGCTCAAGTATAGTTTATTTATAAAGGCACAAAAGTTGACCAAAGTTCTAGTGGTAAAACAACAACATGATTTTCAGGTAAGTGAGTTGCTAGATTTATTAGCTCAACGTGTTATTTTACTTGCGTGTAAAAAGCAACAGACTGAAACCCGCTTCACTCTTTCTTCAGCTCGGGCTCTGAACTTTGCGGTAGGATGCTACTAACTTGGGGGCTGTGCTGCAAAATTAGTCTCGCCTTTTGACTCTTTGACACTAATCGCTCACACGACTCGGTGTTGCACATGTTGAAGCTGAGGCTGCACAAGTCATATTGTATCATACACTGGCAAAACTAAACCTGCTTTTTTTTTTAAATGCCTGTTTTATCGGTCAACAGGTATCAAGTTTAATGTAACAATTGAATAACCTCAAATCTTCATGTTGGGAGTCTGCAGGTCCAAAGCAGGTTTTATACGCTGGTGAATGGAACAGGTCTTTACCAGAGTTCAGTGTTCTGGTGGTTCACGTCCACAATCTGATGCAAAGTCCCAATCTGGATCTATTTGATGTTGGAATATACAACCCCAACTAGAATATATGCTAATGATTTCATGTGGACTTCCTCTGTAACAATGCATTATGTTTACACGAAGAAAACATTTTTCAAAAACTGAATATATATATATATATATATCTATATCTATATATATCTATATCTATATATATCTATATCTATATCTCTATATCTATATCTATATCTATATATCTATATATATATATCTATATATATCTATATATCTATATATATATCTCTCTCTCAAAACTTACAGAGATCTAAAAAGACATTGAACAGGAATTTGACGCCTCAGTTAATATTGTAACATAATTCTATGACAGTTATTGTATCTTGATTCATTCATTGTAATGACACGAACAGACCTGCAGACATCCTGTGAATGTTGCTCAGACGTGTGCAGCTCAGCTCTCCATCTTCTGTCTCCATCTCTACGCTACAGCTTCTCTGTGTTGTCTGTCTCTACGCTACACCTTCTCTGTGTTGTCTGTCTCTACATCCATGTGTCTCAGTGTAACACCTTCCTCTCTTCCTCCTCCATCTGAACTCCACCCTTTGTGTATTGATTGTTGTTATAAATCTGAGAAGTCCCTCTGCTCTGCTGACATTGATATTTTACTCTTCTGCCCTCTCTTTACCCTCCACCCCCTTCTTTCTCTCCAACTCCACCTTTTCTCAACTGTCTCACACCGGTTCTCTCCCTCTGGCTCTCTACCCGTTCTCCCCCCACCTCCCCCTGCAGCCGAAGCACCAGGACACTTTCTCTCTGGCCCCCCAGCGGCCTCTCACCACCATCAACCCCATCGGCCACTCCCTCCATCCAAACGGAGTGCCCACGCTCAAGCCTTCCCCCGTGCCACGCACCATCCAGGCCATGCCCTGGGAGCAGCGCTCCCTCTACAATCAATGAGACACCCCCCCCCCACCCCCCCCTCACGTCGTGTCCAGCACCACACACCCTCCTCACCCCCCTCTCCCCACACCCCTTTCGGACCCAGCATTGAGGAGGGAGGACTTTGGACGCCCCTCCACCGCCTCGCCCCTCCTTTTGGAACGTTGTGTTTGGGATGGGGAGGAGGGGGCGGGCAACCCTTGAGAACTAGTTGAGATTGAATAACTGAGTAGTTAGGTTTAAAAAGAAAAAAAAAAAATGTGTTGCCTTGACCCTCATGTATGATCTATGCCATGTACTGGATATAAGTTAAAATGTCTGTCCCCTCACTTAAGAATTTATCTCCCCGTCCTCCTCTCCCACTGTAGTTATGAAAATATCTATCCTTCCCATTATGAATAGTGTCTCCCCCCAACCCTCCTTTTTGTTCCCCCCATGCGTTCAATGAAACAAAAAGCTATTCTCTATCCAGAGCGTATTCCAGGGCGCCAATTAAATGTGACAAAATTCTCCCTTCGGCCCGATATGTTTTCCTGAACATAAAACGTTTAAGTCAAATGAAGCTTCTAGAAGGAGAAGGGGGAACCGTTTTCTCTGTTGTTTTTTTTTAAGCGTACCCTCTTCAACGTGCTCCAGAATGAAGACTGTATATTGTGTGTTCAGGAGGCGTCCTGACAATTTCCCGAAAGCCGTTTCCTTCACAACTCTCGTCTCCAAGCATCAGCAGTAACGACCAGGACGGACACCAACGCGAGGATGGTTTGGCTCCCTAGTGTTCCATGAAAAGGACCTCAACGTTACCGGAGGGAGGGGGGGGGGGGTCTTGCTCTTACCTTCTCTTTAATACACAACTGAAAGCTCACTAGTTTGTTTTTTGATTCTAAACTTTCATCTGACTAGTGGCTTGTTGTTGTTGTAGTTTTAACGATCTGTCGAGTGGGGGG